TCTCTCTCTCTCTCTCTCTCTCTCTCTCTCTCTCTCTCTCTCTCCTTTCCTTTGGAATAGATGCTATCAGGGGTTAACTTATCTCCCCCCCCCACCCACCTCAAACGGAAAAAGTACAAAAAGAATAGAAAAAAGAAAAAATGTTATCTAGGGGTAATATTTGAAAGAAAAGCTACTCTATGTAAGCTTTTGGAGCCTCTATGATCATTATCCCTATGTGATGATATCTCCTTGCTGGTCCAATTGTGTGAAGACACCCTAGGCTTGGCTTCTTTTTGAATGAGGATGTCAACCTCCCCACTTTCACACTTCTTTTCTAAATTTTGGGTACTTATTTTTCGCTCTGTAAGTGAAAGTCTTATGAGCAGCACTCCAAATTTGAGGCTTTTACTTGGGATCCTAACTCAAGTCTCCTAATCCTTTCATGATCCGAGTCTACTATTAGAAATACTCTGCAAAGTACAAATAGTAGAAATGAAGCACAAGATCTGGAGCACTTAAGAAGTCTCCACACCATCTAAGTTCCCATGTTCTATAGTATCCTCATCTCCTTCTACTTCAAGATAATACAAAATTCAAGCTCTCATGGAGAGAACCATTAGGTCATCGTTTTCTTGTATGCCACCTGGCTCACCATGTGCAATCCTGTGTCTCAGACATGATTCTTGTTGCTGTATCCCTCTGTGCAAAATTCATCTTGAACAATCTCCTGTCCCTCTTAAAATAATAAGTCTGTACAATACAGATTTTTGTTCCATCATAAATTATTGGAAATGATCAACAACAATAAATTTTTAGTTATTTTAACTTTTATTGGAAATAAAGAAAATGAATTTTAGTGCTATGTAATCATCATTGTTATAGAGGGTCCAAGATCCACCACGGTAATCATCATTGTTAGAGAGGATCCAAGATCCACTCCAAGAGATTGGAGTAACATGTCCATTGACTACATGAACTCCTTCAAGGTGAAAATGCGATATTTATAGTCTAATATTGGAGTGAGTAACATCTCAATTTGTGGAATGCATTATAATGATACAAAAATGTTGCACATGATTAGCAAACTAACCTTATGTACAACCCTACTGTACTCCCCCATTAAACTGGCCCTATCACATGTTTCACATCTGATTGGTAGTTTGCTTTCGAGGAACTGATGTTTATATCTCCCAATAACTTTTGTAAGAAGGTTGATGATTTGAGGATGTGATAAGTTATAGGCATGGATGTAAATCACATTTGTTGGTGAAAAGTCACTAAATTAGTCTTTTTTTTTTTGGCTGGTTTAACAAATGATTTTTATTATAATACTAGGATTACACATTATGAGAGGCATTCATATTTACAGGAATACGAAGGAGAAATCAAAAGAGGTCAACATCCATTGCAGATCCATTAGATGACAAAATCACTAGCCTTCCTCACTATAGAGTGCAGCTTCTTGTAAATATGAATTTAAACCCTATAAACAGCTTCTGCAATGGATGTTGACCTCTTTTGATTTCTCCAGCTATAAAGTTTGCCCCTTTTCTAGTGATATGCTACAATCAGACCTTTTTTCTCAGCAAAGTTTTCGGTGGCTTTCCTAAATTGGTTGTGATAAGCTAGACTGACACGGTCATCTTTGTTCGTGATGTCATGCCGTAAGTGGTCAAATCTACCCCATTCTGTGTATGTATGTATACATTATATTTAGACACACACACATGAGGCAGATTTGATCACTAAAATTTTCACCTATGATGCCAGCCTAGCTGTCATTTTATGCAGTTTTCTTGCCCTTTCCTCAAGTTGTTCAAATTTCTTTAACTTTGGGTCTACCTTCCCATTTCCCTGTCACAATCTTTTTTTCTTTTTTTTCCTCCTTCTATAAGTACCAAATTAAGTATCGAGCCTGCCTTTCCTAGCATGAAATTATTAAGGAACTTCCATCTTCAAATGTCCTTGATGATTCTTCCTATGACTTTACACCCTCTGTGTTTGTTTCTTATTGTAAAAAGCTTTTTTTTTTAAAAAAAAAGAAATAATAGAAAGGTTTTTTTTTTTTAAATACTGGAGAAAATTAGTCTAAACAGTGTTCACCTTGGCAAAACCTGAGGTTGTTCATGAAATTTTTACTCAATTTACCACATAGCAATGACCATTTGTTGAATGATTATGATTACTTTGAGTTCTCACTTGGCCTCTTGATCCATGTTCTCTAGACTTTGCATTTATGATTAAATGTGAACCTTTCTTTTAGAGTTTTACAAGCTTTTTTGATAGGGCATGTATGATTTGTCTATTTTAATGTCATACAGAACAAAATATTGAAGGAAAGCTAATATGCAAGCATTACATCCAAAGGGGGCTTGGTTTAGATCCAGAGTGTTCGGTGCGTGGTGGGTGCCTGCAACATAATGTTAGGAAACCATTGGTCATCTGCATCACCCGATTAGTTGCTCAGAAGGGCCTCCATCTGATTAACTCTGCAATACAGCATATTCAAGAAATTGTAATTCCTTTATCACTTGTTGGATTGAGTGCATTCATTCTTATAATTTCTATCAAGGCCATTAGGTATTTTAAGGGTTCAATTTTCATTTATTCTAGCCGTAGCTTGACAAGCTTTGTTGTAACAAATTTGAATCCCAAATTTTGTTGTCAAAATGTAGTTGGTGGAATTTTGAGTTGCTTGTTTACCGATGTTTGGATTGGCTTATCAAATGTCCTCCATTCTCTCTGTACAATCCATCATGTGGTTGCTAACATAGTCCAGAACTATTATCTGAATGTGTTAAATTAGGCAATTCCAACTCGAATTTCTCCTTTAGGAATGAGCCTGAGGCCTTGGTGGTTAGGGTGGAGGAGCCACAACTTGATGTCTCGACTTCTATTCCCACCTGTTATATATACCCATGAATGAGCCAAAAAAAGAAAAAATTCCAATTTCTCTTCTGATAATGAAAGTTTCAATGTTGAAGTTGCATAGCAGAATTACGAAGATGACTTTGCTTATTCTTTATTTGATAGGGTGGGCAGATGGTTTTGCTTGGCAAAGCTCCTGATGCTCGAGTTAACCATGAGTTTGAGTACCTTGCAAGTGTGGTAAAATGCAAAACCATATGCATATTTGTTTTGCAGCCTCTTTCACTGAGATTAACTATCACATATTGATCGTATATTTTTTATCTTGCATTGCAGTACAATGGAGGTTGCAACATCCGAGTTCTTTTGACATACAGGTCAGTCAAAATGATCATAAACATGGAAGTTGTATGGAATGGTCCCACTTTTCGTACAGAGTGAAGCAATGACAATATCTCCCTTAGGTCCTCCAATGTTGCCTTGATTTTCTATGAGAATGTCATTTCAGAAATATGATTTTGGTCCTCACCATTTTGGGGGCTGAGTTTTTAAACTTTAAATTATGTGACTAGAATTTGCCATTTCTTCAGGAATAATTAAGATTGTTCATGTCATTTTACTATGGGTGTGGTTTCTATAAGGTTGCAACCTTAAACAATCCAATTAAGGCGCACCTCCAAATTTGATCATGACATGTAATTTCGGTGTAAAACATTGTTAGGGTTATTCGAAAATATATTTTTATATCTAATTATAAAATTCTAAACTCAAAAAATAGTTAAAATCAAGTAGATCTTTAAATATATGAAATTCTTGAGAATTAACGTCTAGATAATGTGTTGCAAGACGCACTATTTCTGGGACTAAAAATCTTTTTTTTTTTTTTCATATTTATCCATCTCAATGTCGAGATAATCAATTCGAGGGTTTTTCAACACTAAAATAACCTTTTCCGATGGATTTGTGAGCTGCATCTGTAATTCTACATTTTAATGTTGCAACCTTATATAAACTTTTTCCTTTTACTACTTTAGTTTGTACCATGTGCAATGCCTCATGGATGGACCTTTGTTCTTCTGTTTTTCAATGTTACCTAAGATGGAACTTTTCCTAAACTGAAGTTTGAACCTCCATGCATTCCCCAAAGGCTTGATTATTTATAAACGTTTGGAACATTTTCTTTTGATCAGAATAATGTTTAGAACTTTTTATTCAGTGTTTCCATGGGTATATCTCCCTAAATACTACCGATTTCTACATTTGTTAATTACGTAATTGTACGTTTTGTGTGTGTGTGCGTGCATGTGTGTGTGTGCATGTGTGCATGCGTGAGTGTGTGTGTGTATGAGTGCGTGCATGTGTGATGTGAATAAACCTATGTGAAAGCGCACTAATCACTAGAATGGAATCACATGAGCATACTTGTGCAAGACTGGTTATGAGAGGGAGGGAGGGAGGGAGGGAGGGAGGAAGGTGGCAGGGAGGGAGGGAACGAGTTTGATTACATGCCTCCATAGCGATGATTTAACATGCTCCTAACTTAATTTCTTATACAGCGAGGAGCTGTCCCATATGCTATATGCTGCTGCAGATATGGTTTTAGTTCCTTCTATGTATGAGCCTTGTGGGCTTGCCCAGATGATTGGCATGCGCTATGGAGCGGTAGCTATCTTACTCTCATTTTTCACTTCTTTCATATTTTGATTCAACCGAATGTATTAGTTGGCCTTGTTCATTCGTATCGTAACCTAATTTAAATTGTGCCAGTTGTCTTGGTGGTTATGGTTTGGAGCAGAGAATAACGTTTTGAGTGCCTAATGCCAATCTAAAATGTTTGAAATAATCACCAATATATTTGTTTCTCTCTTTTTGATAAATAATCAATGCTGCGTAGATTGTAGTACATTACCTAAGTAAATGGAACACATATGCGAAAACATAGAAGATCAAAACAAACCTTACCCAAGAAAATAGAAGATCAACACCAGAGAGCACATATTTGGAACAAGGAAACTATTAACATGCAAATTGAAACTACAGAAGAGTAAACATTTGTAGGGTATTTTTGCATTATATAGCCATGTTTCATCTGCAATCATACTTTGCACCTATGTGATTGTTCTAATCTCCACCATTTCCTTTGAATTCTTCAAATATGTATGCATTAACTAATAAAATGACTTTATGCTAGATGATCCCTTCTTATCTTATTTGGAATGATCTGAAAGATGATCAAAGCACCTTTCATGATTAAGATGGGTCCGAGAGGCTACAAATACCAGCAGAAATGGCAGAAAGACCTAAGTTAATCTGAGCTAATGCTGCAACTAAGAAAACTAGCCGTTTTCGTGATAAGAATCCCACATTATAAGAAGACATGTTGCTCAAGGAGAGAAAAATAAAATATTTATAGAATAGTTAGCCTTTTCAAGAGGGCTAACCTCCTGAGGATTTCTTTCAATTAATTCCAGCTTCCTATGTGGTCCCACAACCCCTTTATTTGTGCTCTAACTTATCAACATGCTAGCCTTAATTTGACTTCCCAAATACCTATTGAAGGGCAAACAAATAAATTCCTGATTGCTGCTATTCTATTTCGACGCAAAATCCAGTTTGCATTAGATACCCAAAAAAGACAACCCCTTCCAAATAAGACTCCCAAAACTTATCAATTCATAAGTTTCAACTCTTTTTTCCTGATGGGTAGACTGGTTTGCATAATCTTGTAGGAAAAACATTGTCATCCCTACTATGTGATTTAAGGCCCATGGGACAAACAAATAAACAGATTCAAGTCAATCTGATGAACGGGCTCAAATGTACAGGTGCCAATTGTCCGAAAAACTGGGGGCCTTGCTGACACTGTGTTTGACATGGATGATCAAGCGAATCTTGACAAAGCAAATGGGTAACCAATATCTTTAAATCATGAAATTTTATAGTTTTTAGCAAATTTTCTTGATCTCTCATCCAAAACCTGTTAATGCTTACCATGTCCTTCTCTTTGTTGGCATAGGTTTGTCTTTGAAGGTATAGATGAAGGATCCTTGAAATTCACATTGGAACGTGCTTTCCGTTACTACAAAGAAAGTAAGTTCCCTATTCCTTGGACATATTTATATTTGAAGTTCTCTGTTTACTCCAGGATCCACAATGGTGGTTGCTGCTTGAAATTTTCAGAAAGTTTGATTGGTTTAAAAGATATAAAAAAGTGAAATATTTCAAGAAAGACAATAATTTAGTATCGGTATGATGGCAAATAGCTTAGTAATTTCTTAAAATTCATGAAAATTTCCAGTATTTGCCAAGCAAACAATAAATATGGTATGTAACATAATTTTGCCAAATTTGAGAGAGAGAGAGAGAGAGAGAGAGAGATGAACTTTAAAATG